GGGGTATCCGAAGCTGCGGCCACAGGAGCCAGAGCGGAAGCCCCCGCAGACGCTCTGGCTGCCAAAGCCCCCGGTGAGGCCGCGGTAGCAGGAGATGCCGCGGTAGGGGGCGGCGGTGATGCAGCAGCGGCCGGGCCGGGGCCCGCAGGCGGAGGCGCAGCTGAAGGCGCTGCCAGCACAGTAGGATCCACAAGTCATGGCGTTTCTTTGGGGCACGGGATTCTCTGAGGAGGGAGTGGTAGTAATGGAAGGTACAATGGACGAAGCGTTTACGTCTCAGACATCTTTGGGCCCTTTATATATGTGGGGAGCCTGATGCGTCCACAGGTTAGGAGCAATTAGTTGTCTTTTATTGGCTTGAGTTATTTAGCTGCTAGCTCCTCCCTTAATGTGCTTAATTGGGGGCCAGATGCGGCCAGATGTTTACGGCCTTTTACCCTAAACTGCACAATTTTTATCATCAAAGGGCCAGCTCACTTCCCCCACACCCACCCCAACCTCCCTATACACAGTCGGGAAACTTAGGTATTGGAAGTTAGGGGAGCAGTGACTCAGGTTGGAATGGAAGGGAAGGGCGGGGCTGCGGGTCCCCCTGCACCTCCCCATTTAATGACGTCACACCCCATTTGATGACGTCACACCGCTATCCGTGGTGCTGATCGTACTAGCCTCAGGGACACTGGGAGAGTGTGAGATGAACAGATGATTGGAACCTGGGATGCGTTTGGTGATTTCCCTCACAGTGATGCCCTCTTTCTGCACTCCTAAAGCCCCAACATTTACACAATCTCTCATCTCAATTACCCCACACGAGTCCAACACCCCACATCATTCCCATATCCATCACTTACACTTATCAATATATTCGCTGTCCTCTCTCTCTCTCTCTCTCTCTCTCTCTCTCTCTCTCTCTCTCTCTCTCTCTCTCTCTCTCTCTGATTGATAGACCCCTTTAAGAAACCTTGGCTGACCTCTGTGGTTGCGACCGGGAAAAGCAGCCAGGTAGCTCCCACACCAGAGTCTCTAGCTAACTCTTCTGACTTAGGCCCTAATCAAAATCAAAGACAGTATGTCTGGATTTCACCTCAAGCCTTCGCATTTCCTCCAGGGCCCAGAAGGCCTGGGGCAGACACCACTGTTATGAGTCTGCACAGCATTTGGCTCAGAATATAATAGGATCAATCTAGATAGAACCATAGGAGGAAAATATCCAACCACCTGCCATCACCCCCATGAGTCTGTGCTGTTTTCCATGCTATACCAACCTTACCACTCCTTTTCCTTTACAGTAGTTTGTCAGCAACCGTTGAAGATGCCACTACAGATACATACTGGTGTGCATTGTCTATCCAGCATGGATAGTGTTGGCCTTCAACCCAAAGGGCTGGGTAGGAACCAAGGCTCTGCCATGATGAGTTCAGTGTGATCTGAGGGCAAGGTACTTTACTTCTCTGGGAAATGGTGTAAACATTTCTCTTCCAGTGTTTTCTTGGAGAATTATAGATATGTGCATATGCTGGGTAAACTCCAGAGCACAATGCAGATGCGCTTTATTATAATTACAAAGTAGAATGCTCTGAGGTAACAATTTTTTTTTAAGTTCTCATTGTGACTCACTTATGGAAACAACCAGAATTTTAATGAACTAGATTAGAACAAAACCAAGTAGAGTAGAATAAGAAAATATCAGAGTGCATCATACATAGTAAGAATAACATTTCATTTTTGTTTCAATCGTATGTGTTGTGTATGTATGTGTGCATTCAGTCACTACGCAAAATCATTTCTAAATATGATTGAAACTAAGAAGTTTAAATGTATGGCATATTAGTTGAGAACACAGACCCAGATTTCAAACTACCTACTTTCAAAGTCCAGCTCTGCCACTTTCTAGCTGTGTAAACTTAAGCAATTACTTAACCTCCCTGTCTCATTTGATGATTTGTAAAATGGGGATAATAGTACCCACCTCATAAAGTTGTTCTAAGGATTAAAAAATTAATCCATGTAAAGCACTTAGAACAGAGCCTGACACACTCTAAGTGTGTAATCATATTAGTAGTAGTAGTTGTTGCTGCTGCAGTAGTTATAGTGACAGGTTTGATGGGTAAGTAGGGATATGTGTTATTGACATTGTTATTGCTGTTGTTGCTGCTGCTGCTGCTGTTGATATATCAGCAGGTTTGATGGAATATACCTACTCATATTCCTAAACCACCTATGTAAAATTCTCACTAAGGTTGCTTATCTTAAAGGACTAGTAAAAAAATTAAATTAAATAATGCACAGACAATGCTTAACACAGCACCTGGCACACAGCAAGTGCTCAATAAATGTATTTACTGTTATTCCACCACGGTGGGGGGGGGGAGAGGAGGGGTGGCGGGTAATAGGCATCAGTCCAAGAAGCAGGGAGGACCTGAGACCTTTGGCTATGGTTACTTCCTGGAAAAGAATCCCAAATGAAATGCCTCTCCTTCAATCTTCACTCTAGCTCAGCTGCCCCAGGGAAGGCCCAATGGGAATCTCTCCTCTTAGGCAATATGACAAAGGGAATACATCACCAATCCTTGGGCAACCACACTACCAGATGAAAAGAGAATCTTGAACAGTCCAAAAGATCTATTATTTGTAAATAACTCAAAAATTTGTATTTCTTATTTGGCCTTAATAGACCATCAGAAATTCTAATAGTAATATAATAATGCAAGCCATAAATCAATGACATTCTCACTCATCTTGCTTTTTACCTGCTCCCGAAACCTCCTGATTGGTCAATAGCCCAGGGGTACCACAGGATTGAGGGTGAGGGATATGCAATTGATAATCCATCCAAGTATAATTGTACTTCAAAAGGAGCAAGAGAAGTCAAGCTTTCACTGCAACTGGACAGATGGAAGTTGGAATTGCGAAAGAACTTCCCAGAAGGAGGGCAGGTAGTCATGATTTCCTAAAGGAGCCTGCATTATGTCTCCCTTTTAGGGAAGCTTTATATAAAAGAGAAACACTTGTTATTCCGGAGTGGTCACCATGTTTATGGAGACAGGGTGAACCAAAATACTTTCATATCTGGAGATCAGAATCTCCTCTTTTAGCCCACGTGGATCTTGTTTCAAAGGATGCCTGGAGACAAAGGGAAAATCAGATGGTTTTAACATTAAGAAATACTTGTCAGTTCATCCGCTCCTGTGGAAGATGTTATAAGGTAGATTCCCCAAGAAAGATGATGGATTAGACTAGATAAAATCTTGTTGAGGGAATTCAGTGATTCTGTGATTGATATATCCTGAACTCTGCCTTAATTTGGAGGGGAGGAAGGAACGCACTAAGAGAAGGAAGGCAACATGAATTCTGGAGCTCCTCATATGACAAGGAAGACAGAAACACATTCATGAGAAAGGCCAGAAGTCTGGAGAGGGATGCTTTTCACATATACCATCAGATGCTCAGGAATACAATGACTACTGACAGTGCCCATTCCGGGGCAATGTGGAATGCAGCTAGTCTGATGGGAAAGGCAAGAAAGGCTCCCTGGAAAAGGTAAGGACTGGATTCAGTAAAGAAGCAGGTGGGGCAATATTGGTGCAAAGATGTGCCTGGAGATATTTCAGAGAGTGGGAAGACAGTAGAGGCATCTGAGAGTCCCTGCAGGAGAGGAAAGGATTATGAGATGCTGTGATGATAGAGAGCCAGTTGAGGCAGAGACCTCAGAAGCAGGGCCTGTGTCATCTCTGGGATTCTGCTCCATGACTGTGGGCTGGGAAGCAGTCTGTGGGCTCTACAGGCTAGCAAAACATCTGCACATTAGGCTTGCAGGTATTCAAGGAATTATGCCCTTTCTAAATTTGCAGCTGGTGCTCTTTGTTCACAAAAAGCAGGTGCAGACCAAGTTCCATGGAGAGAAATTGAAGTGTGAGGGAGTGGATATTTACATAGCATTTGAGCAATTAATGAGAGAGTTGACCTCAGGTCTAGCTACCAGGCAGGGCAATTGGGTTGGTGAGTTGATGAGAGGCCCAAGTCAGAGGCCTGCCTCCTCAGCCAAGACAGCTTGGGACAATGGTCAGTTATCCATGAGAACTCACCAGAGGACAAGGAGCCAAAGGATCTCATGAACAAAAATGCAAAGACCTGGGGGAAATGAATCTTGACTCAGGAGTTCTGCCCTTGGTAAGGTCCATACCACTAATCAGGCTGAGCTCCTATACATTCCCCACCCATGTCCCTGACCTATGAGAATTCATTGCTATAAAGCTGGTTCCAAGGTTACTCCTCTTTGCAGGTAAGTCTATATCTTGCCCTCAGTGTTGCATCCTTTCCCCCATCAAACTCTTCCTCCTCTGTGCTTCACCCTTGCACTGTCCCCTCACCATTCTCCCCTGTGTCTTCTTCCCATTGTTACTCTCCAGTCCTTCACATCCCTCCTCTTCTCTTTGTTTCTCCCAATCTCCCCTCCCTCCCATTCTCTTTGCCCCCAAGCCAGTCTCTGTCTTTGTTCCAAGTGGCCCTTGAGAGTAACAGTGTAAGATCAAGCATCTTCTTCCTCCTTTTTTCTTCCCTAACTCTATCTCCAATTTCCACTCTGCCCCAAAGCCTTCAGGATTCTTGCCCTCGTTGGCTGGCTTTTCCCATTACCCTGCCATTGCTCAGGTCAAAGACTTTGCTTTGGCCAAAGACACATCTACTCATTTCATCTTTCCGTCAGGCCTCAGCCAGGGGCATCTCCCCACCCCAAACCCAACCTTAGGAATAGCTGACCTCTGGTCTGCTTCATCTTGTCCCCACCCTAACCTACCAGAAAGCTTTATACAATTAACCACCAAGCTTTGATGGCTCCATTAGTCAGCACTTAATATGTAGATGGTATGTATTTCATTCATTCAACAAATATTTATTGAGCACCTACTATGTGTCCAAGCCCTTGGAATATATTTATCAACCAAACATTTGTACCCATTGGTATATTGCAGGGTTTGTATTTTTGTTCATGATCTGGGTATGTATCCAGCTTTTCTTTTAAAATTGGAAACTCACTACAAACATAGGTGAGCACTTCTCCATTCTCTGGTCCTAAACCCTGAGAGCACTTGGAAAAGCCCAGAAGAGGATACTGAAGTGAGGGGATTAGTAAGTATGTGTGTGTTAATGTATTATATACAAACACCATCTGCTGTGTGATACTTCTAATAATGGCTGACAATGAGTAGATAGGAGTGCAATGAGATAAACTCATCCTTCCATTGGGATCAAACACATCAGGCTCTGAGTGCCAACTCTGAGCCACTAACCACACAACTTGAGCCAGTTTTTTAATTTTTTTAACCTCCCTAGGCCTCAGTGTCCTCCTCTGTAAAACTAGAATAATAGCGCCTGCCTCAGAGGGCAATTGTAAAAATTAAATACATGAATGCATGTTCGGCTCTTAGTATAGTATTTAGCATGAAGCAAGATGAACATTAAGAAATGTTATTATCTTTTAAGTTTGGAATAATAGTCATAAAACAGTTTTCTACACCAAACATATACTATTTGCATAGTTGTTGTTTTTTTTTTTTTTTTAAATAACCATATACCCTAGAAAAACTCTTGCACAAACATACCAGAAGACATAGAAAAGTATATTCATGGCAGCTCTGTTTATAGTACAAGTTCTGGAAACAACCATGGGGCCATCAGGGTAGAAAGATAAATAAACTGTGGCATGTTCATACAATGAGTACAATCCACAGTGAAAATGAACACTGTACAGCTACAGGAAGTAACGTTGAACAAAAGAAACCAGACACAAAAAGATGCGCACAATATGATTCCATTTATATGAAGTTCGAAAACTGGAAAGCTAAGTAATATATGGTTTAGGGATGCATAATTTAGTGCTAAAACTATAAAGAAAAGCAAGGAATGATTTAACACAAAATCTCAGAGAGGAACCATCCCTAGGCCAGGAAGGAAGGAGTGCAATCAGAGTGAGGCTCATAAGGATCTGTTCTATCGTCTGTCCTGTTTCTTCCTATAGGTAGTAGGTACATGACCTATAATTCTTTTGTGTGTGTGACATATTTCACAATATAAACCATTTTAACTTCCAGAAAGCTCGCTTTGCCAGAGCCAAGACCATAAAGTGGTGATGCTGCCAACTCTCCCCACTTGCCAGACTCCAGACTCCTCTCACTGCCTAAACTTTTCCGCTTGAAGAAAACATACAGGTTGAATGTCTTTTTAGGTCTTCAAAGATTAGCAACAACTAATAATGCCTGAAATGTAATGAAATGGTGCATTTTTGAATTTGTCTCTATCTGGTTTTAAATTACTTCCTGCTTTTTTCAAATTGCTTAGCAAGGATCAATCATTAGTAATTAGCTCATGTTTATTTATGCATGTCATTTTTACAAGGAGTTACACTGGTAGAAAAGGTAAAGTGAGTGTGAGATGCACCTTAACTCACAATGCTTCGCCTGAGGACACGCAGCCAGCTGGCCTGCTGGGAACACCATTGCTCAATTGTGAGCAATGCCCAGGATTGCAGATGAGGTAGTATAAAGGGCCTCAGAAGTGCTGGCCCTGTTCCCCAAACACATAAAGTGACAGCAGATGCCATACCTTCCTCTGGGATGACCAGATGGCTGTAACAATCTGCGACCTCATGTCTGACCTGTCACAAGGCCTCACTCCTGAATGTTTTGCACAGACACCCGGAGCCCTACCCCAGAACTCTACTCTTGTTTTCTTCTCTTTTCCCATCAACCCCACCCTATTCCACCTTCCCTAAGCTGCTCTTTCCCCAAAGGCACAGCAGCTATAAGGGCTGCCAGCCACATCATTTCACTTCTCTTTTCTTCCTTTCAATTTAATACAAACCTCTGTATTTTATGATATAATTTTTCTAGACCTATTGGAGTAGGGGTGCTTCATGGGAAGCAGAACACAGTACAATCTATCAAGGTACTTACAGTATGCCAGAAGTATACGAATTACTAAACTTGCCATTTTACAACCCCTTCCTTCAATTTTAAGGCACGGGATTCTGTATTCAACCCATACCCTTCTCTTGCCCCCAGCCTCACATCATCCTTGTGTCGCACTCACACCACATTGGCCCCTCCTGGTTCTAACCATCCCAACCCCCTCTGACTCTGCCCATCTTCCTTAGAATGACTCTCCCCAACCCTGAATCCACAGCTATCACCTCCTAAACAACTCTACTCTCTTGAAATTTTCCAGGGGTTAATAAATCCAGGGGTTGTCATAGCTTGTAGGTAAGAAGGTGTTGCATCTCTTGGGCTCCACTACTTACCAGCTGGGAGACTTTGGGCAAGTTATTTAACTTCTCTAAGCCTTGGTTTCCTCATCTGTAAAATGGGGATCATGGTACATACTTCATACAGTTGATGGGAGAATTAGAGATCATTTATAACATGTAATAATAGTAGGTGACCAATAAAAACAAAACATCTTTCTATCAAAATAGGATCTAGGTTCCCCTACAGAGTATTTTCTAATTGTAAGGGGGGAAATGTACTCAAGTGATCTGATTTAGCATCACCAATAATAGAACAACCTGATGTTTTGTGCTTCCTGGGGTGATACAGTAAGAGTTATACAGCATCATTTATAAAGTATTCTGTCCCAAAATGTTTCAGTTAAACCTAATCAAGCCTCTAGTCCAGCACAATACAATAGAGACTGGTGTAATGGTGGAAATGTTCTATATTTGTGCTGTCCAATAAGATAGCCACTAGTCTTGTGTGGCATGTGGCTAATACAACTGAGGAACTAACTAGATTTTGAATTTATTTAATGTCAACTAACTTAAATAGCCACATGTGCCTATCGGCTACTATAATGAAGAGCCCAGCTCTAGAGTTAAGTTTATAGAAAATACAAGGGCTAGAGCCACAAGTTAAATCACATACAACCTATATTTTTAATCCTTGGGAAAATTGAATGTGGAATGTATAATAAATGATTCTTTGGAATTATTGTTCATTTTCTTATATGTGAAAATGGTACTGTCCTTACCGTTAAGAAATGCATGCCGAAAGTTAAGGGTTACATGCCATGCTTTCTGTAACTGCCAAATAATTAGGTGGATGTGAAAGGAAATAAGGCACAATATTAACATCGGTTGAATCTAGGTATCAAGGTGAAACATCTCAGGGTGTTTGTTATACTATCCTTTCAAGTTTTCTATATGTTTGAAAACTCTTATAATAAAAGCTGAAAAGATGTCAAACACAAATATTTACTAATGTGTTAGCTGCTGCCATGGTAAGAAAAATCAGATATTTTTCAGCAGCCCACTGGAAATCTAAGGAGAGGGAGAGTCCAGGTTAGTGTTTTAGTAGCACTGTGGCCATTACTGGAATGAAAACTTGCAGGTATTCTGCTAACACCTCAGTTTTTCCTGGGTCTCCTCCCCACTGACCCTCCAAACACACAGAGGTCCTTTCCTCCTCCCTGCTTCTCCTCTCTAGCATCTGGCCTCTGTTCTCCCCTTCTCCTGGCCCCATTTCTGCCTCCCTTCACCTCTCTCTCTTCTGCCCTGCCCTTCTCTCCCCAGTACCCTCAATGAGTGCATGCCCTGCTGGCAAGGCACTTTGAAGATGAAACATGATGAGTCCCCCTACCGCCCAGGGATTGGCATCCTTAACACAGAGGAAGGTGCAGGCCATTCCGCCATTAAAGCACATTCTAGAGAGGGGTTGGACCCGGCTAACCGCCCAAGCCCATAAAGCACAAATTGCCCCAACTCCATCTGCACAGCCAAGCCTATTCCCACTCCAGCATAAATAGGACAGGGGAGCCTTGAGGAACACATTGGAGTTTCCACCAAGACTCCAGATCTCACATCCCGTGCTCTGTAACCCAGAACTTCAGAAGCACCATGACCTGCAGATCAGGATTCTGCGGCCAGGCCTTCAGCTGCGCCTCCGCCTGCGGGCCCCGGCCCGGCCGCTGCTGCATCACGGCCGCCCCCTACCGCGGCATCTCCTGCTACCGCGGCCTCACCGGGGGCTTTGGCAGCCAGAGAGTCTGCGGGGG